GCTTCTGCAGCAGTATAGCAGTTAAGGTGTGGTCTCTTACCTGGAAGAGGCTGCTGTCATCGGTGCCTCTCCAGTCCAGCCCAGCTGTACTGTTTACTGGTTCTGTTTCACCCCCCTATCCAGGCCCTTGCTTGGGCAGGGCTTATTTTATACCTGCTGTCATCACATCTGCCCTCTGTCACAATGGGGTGCTGCCTGCATTTCAGATGGCAAATTCTTTGTCTCTGTCACAGGGTCTTTTTCATGCGTGGTGTATTTGAAAAACAGTTCAATGTAAGCTATCGGCATGGCAGATGTAGAGCTGGTACCAAAAAAGGACTCTGTCAGTAGTGTGGCAGTGGTTCGGCTTTGCACAGTCATATTTCATAAAGCAAAGTTATCTATAAACTTTGTCGGGCCACAGTCGACGCTTTCGGAGGTAATATGACAAATCGATTCATCCACTTTTAAAAGGAAGTATCCAGCACATGTTTAATATTTAAAATAAAGTTTAACTTAAATCCTTTAAATGACAAATTTGAAAAGTGCCTTTAATGCAATATTGTGTTCTAAGTGGTGCTAATTGACAAGTCCTTAGGCTTGTTCAACTGGATGTTTTTGACAGTACGTTTCATCATTGGGAAGACGACCACAATTCAGATGCTACATGGATCACTATATGATTTTTGGGAAGATTGCCCACCCCTAAGCTTTATATTCAGTATACACATGTAAGCCATGGGTATAGCAAGGAATTCTGGGGCCCTGGATATGACCTTGGGCCCCCATGGTAGATTTTGCCGACCAGTCTGGGGCTGAGAAAAACATTCCCCACCTGGCAATAGCCATGATGTAAGCACTCTGTGCTCTGCTCCACAGTCCAGCGTCAGCATCCTGGTGGATATAGAGTACTTGGGTGGAAATACAGCTGCTTCTGTTTCAAAACCCATGGTAAGAGAGGTTGGCTGATTTCCACCTTTTTCCATGAACATCTTTTGGTGTTGAAGCTTGTACAGATCTACAGGAGCCATGTTCCACTCATTGCTGCATCAGGGTGAAGGGTGTCTATTTGAGAAGCCCCGCTGCTCTGTCCTTGGGTGGAAATGGTCACATGTTCCCCTGGAAACTGCCTCCCATCAGTCCCACTAGATCACACTTGTAGGCAGTGCTCTTGAGGATTGGGAAGAAGAGCTGGTTGCCATGGGAACACTGCTAATTCAGCCCCGACACTTACGCCCGCCCCCCAACCTCAGATTATCTCCCACCCATGTGATTTGCAGTCAGCATGAGGAATGTTTCTGTGCCCCAGCCTTACTGAGGTTGCCAGAAGGTCCTGAAGCTTTAGGGTATCATGACCAGCATTATTTGACGCTGTCATGGATCAGGTCTCAAGTTGGTTGAGTCTCCTCCTGCTGGTCTTTGGGTCTTTGTCTTTCTATGGAGAGGGTATGGAGCTGGGGTTAGGGTTGGAGCTAGGACAAAGAACTTGTCTACCTGCTCTCGAATTAGATTTTATTACTTAGTAAGGAGACACTGTCTTTAATAAAACCTGTTGATACCCAGCGTCCATGTTCTACCTGTTTCTCCTGAGCTTTGCAGGAACTCAGTGTGAGACTCTGGGCTGATCACATGCACATTTAAGCTCTGTGGTCAGTGGGTGACGGTGGGTGGATTGGAGAGTGGCCGAGCCTGGCTGCCTTTTGTTTGGGGTTGTCGCAGTGAGATCGTGCTCAACAGGCAGATGGAGAATGCCATTTTCCTGTGGAAGTCAGGGCATAGTCTTGGCAGGGTGGGGGCGCAGTATGTAAGCCCTGCTATTTTTGGCTTTTGGTAAATTTTGCTATTCAATTGTCACACTGCATACGAACAGTGTGACCAACTGCAAGGGAGACATCGATCGCGCCTGCCATTTCCTGCATCGGTACGACTTCGCACTTGTGGGTGTGAAATCGGACCACTCTGCCACTAAAGGCCGGGCAGGTTCACTTGCAGGCAGACACAGTGGTTCCAGTCCAGACAGAGTTTGCGCTGTGACGGTGCCACGTTTGAGTGACGGACCACACCGCGGGTGATTGGTGAAGAATGAAATTGCCCTGGGAGCAGGTGGAGTTTGGTATCCGTGGAAACACAGCACATGAAGCTGTGATGTGTGTCAGTAGGTTAATGCGGCGCACAGGGGAGGGAGCCGGGCTGGGAGCGATCTCCTCTCCCTAACAGGATGGGTTAGTAACTGTCACAGGGGGCAGAGTCTCTGTCTAAAGGACATGTGTTTGAGACCTGCTCTTGTGTTAAAATGGAGGGCTAATACCCTGATGTACGATCACTGAGGTGAATACTTATTTTCTTTGTTTCCTTTTGCAGGACAGCACAGCAGGCCCACCCAGAGGGGGCAGAGTGACTGGGCCAGCTGACCCCCCCCCCCCCCCCCCCCCCAGCGATGGCAGCCAATAAGAATAAGAGTCAGANCCTCCACCCAGCGATGGCAGCCAATAAGAATAAGAGTCAGAGCTCGCTGGCCCTGCACAAGGTCATCATGGTGGGCAGCGGCGGCGTGGGCAAGTCCGCCCTCACGCTGCAGTTCATGTATGACGAGGTGAGCGTTTAGCGGTAAAGCACCGCCTGGCACTGGCGTTGTGGACTGACACAGGGTTACCAGCCTGCCGGGTTAAGGATTAGTCTTTGGACCCGGATTCTCCTGACTGGGTTGTATCAACTAGAGGAGAAAGAAAAATAAATATGAGGCAGAGGAGCCCAGGGGTTTAAAGCACCTCGATGTTCTCACTGCCAGTGTAGGCGCTAGGAGACGGCAGGATGCGGCCTCTTAACTTTACTAGCTGTATAGAAATATAAATACTGGCTACAAGGCTGCTATGGTTGAGTGCGTTATCTGGAGAAGACATTTAATTTTAATTTTTTTTCTCCCCCCACCCCCCCCCCTCCCCTTTGCACCCACCTGCTCAGTTTGTGGAGGACTATGAGCCCACTAAAGCGGACAGCTACAGGAAGAAGGTGGTCCTGGATGGCGAGGAGGTCCAAATCGACATCCTGGACACGGCCGGACAGGAGGACTACGCTGCCATCCGGGACAACTACTTCCGAAGCGGGGAGGGGTTCCTGCTGGTGTTCTCCATCACAGAGCATGAGTCCTTCACTGCCACCAGCGAGTTCAGGTCAGGCCCCTGTACCTCCACCTCCAAACACAATAGCAGGGATGCAGGAACACTCCTCAGTCCCCACCCCACCCCACCCCACCCCACCCAGTGCTATTAGCCAATACCATGTTAAGTATAACACCTGACAACGTAATGAATGCGGGCTGCTGGATGGCTGAGCAATGACTCTGTCCCCAGGGAGCAGATTCTGCGCGTGAAGGCTGAGGAGGACCGGATCCCACTGCTGCTGGTGGGCAACAAGTCGGACTTGGAAGACCGACGCCGGGTGACTGTGGACGAGGCACGGGCCAAGGCGGAGGAATGCGCTGTACAGTATGTGGAGACGTCGGCCAAGACGCGTGCCAATGTGGACAAGGTGTGTCATCTTGCTCAGGTGGTGGGGGGTGTTCACCAGCAGTGTTACTGAAAGTTTAGCATTGGGCTTCTGGAGTTTGGGGTCACGTCTGGTAGTGGAGCCTCCCCCATAGCTCCTACTCATATCACATGGGTTCAAAACTTGCTTGACCGTCCTCATGCTGATTTCAGTAGTTTTGCAATTTTTTTTCCCCGTTGGTCAGGTGTTCTTCGATCTTATGCGAGATGTGCGGGCAAAAAAGATGGCGGAGAACAAGGAGAAAAATGGACGGAACAATAGGAGGAAGCCCAGGAAACGGTGCTGTTTGCTGTGAAGTGGTTCCTGTTCTGGTAATTTCACCGTGAAGCCTGGTCACAGCTCAGTCATGCATTTAAAAAACAAACTAAACAAGGACATACAATCCTGCCTCTGCATCACATTGTGAGCATCCTGGACGCTGTGGGCTCTATGGGATCAATTTCTTCCTGACGTCCAACACTAACCTCTGCTCTGTCCCCCTGTCCATTCTGTCTGTTCCATGAAAAATCTGATACAGCCATTTCAAGGTACCAATTCCTATACACTGGCCTCCAGCCACCAGGGAGGACGCTCACTAAAGCCTTAGACTCAACATACAGTGAGAGATTTATGAACCATGACACGATCAGTGTGCTGCCAACTGGGAACCAGTTTAATGCCATGTAAACCAATAGGAGAGCCATGTGGGTTTCAAAGCCTCGTCTCTCCCATCACCAGCAAAAAGAATCACTCCATGGCGCTGCAGTCTAGGAGCTGCTCCTCGTACCTTCAGGAGGGGTCTCAGTAACGACGACCATTTTCCTGTGCAGAAGAATCTGGGGAAGCCAAAATGGGAACAAAATAGACTGGGCAGCCGTCCTGCATGTCTTTTAAAAAAAAAAATCAAATCAGACAAAGCTAATCTACCCCCGTAAAGCAGTTTTGTGACAGATCTCGTCATACTTTTTAAAGCTGTACTGCTGTTTATCGATTTCATACATTTATAATCTGTTGCCAAATAAATGTTTCCCCCCCCTTTGTAAATCAGCCAACCTTTAATTACATAGACTGTGACCCAGAGCATTTGACAGAATGAGGAAGATGTTAGCCAGAGTAACTATGCAAGCCTGCAGCTGGACCACTCCCAGTTTGATCACCACAGAGAGCCATGTTTCAAGAAATGGTCTCTAGAGAACAACACCCACTCTGGCCAAACCCAGTCCAGTTCTAGTGCTTGTTCCTGGACGTCTTGGTCCAGAAGAGACAGGTAACATAACCTACCTGGTTGAAGGAGACAGATGGGTCAGGTGAGGAGTCACCAGGTCGTGTTGAATCTGTCTGTCTCACACACATCCACCAATGACACACTGAGCCAGCTCACTACACACCCTGCGTCGATGGTGACACTTCCGCAGTCACTTGCATCACCCCCATGACAAAAACAGCTCACACGCAAGGTTGTTTCCAGGACATTTTTACTTAAAATGTGACACCAGCACTGACTTCCTGTTCTACAGCAGCCTTTCCAATTGAGTTACACAGTGAACAGGGTGTACTTAAAAAAAAAAAAAAAAAAAACGCTACAGAAAATTGCACTTAGTGAAATTACCCTCTAACTACATGCTACGCTACCCATGTGCACAGAACACAGGTAAAATGGTTAAGGATTCAGCACAGTGGCGACGTGACTGTATCCATCCCAGAGTCTCAGACTCGCACTGTCTCCTACGAAGGAATCTGTTCCTTTCAGGAATTTCAGGTAAAGTGTCACAGGGCAAATTTAAAAAGCACGGACATTAGCTTACTGACACTTTTGTGCTTCCTGAACGGAGATAAAAACACGTGTGCAGAAGACAGGCTGTCCGCATTCGCCTGACGTTTAAGACACATACCGACTAGAAGTAAACATAAGAACAAAGAACATTCAATAAAAATGACAAATCTCACCAGCACACACCGATCAAAATCATGAATGGGGGTGGCGGGGAGCAATCTTCCAGAAGGTGACCCTTCAGTCTGTGTTTACACACTAGATGGAAACAGCTTGAGTTTTTTTTTTTTTTTTTTTTTTTAAAAAGGGAATTTCAGTTATGCAAGAATACAGGAAAAAGCAACAGTGCTTAATTGCCAAAATGTGGGATCCACTTGTTTGGTTACGTAATACTCCTCAAGCCACAAGACTTTTTAAACAATATGCTGGCAGTTTTGTCAAAATCAAAATACCACAATTGTTACAATTTTTTTTTGCCCTGTTCAGAAAGATCATCTCAGGAAACAGCATAAAACGTGACAGATTCCACGATCCAGTTCAGTCCAGAAGGTTCCGAACACTCCCGTTCTCTCGCAATCTTTGCTTTCAGGATGGGATCATTTCACTGGAAAGGTTTAAGCGCCGTAGTCAAGGGGTTTTAAAACCATGTGTGGATGGGTAAAAGAATCAGAGCCTCTCCGGTTTATGAAGAAAAGAAAAAAAAAAAAATTGGAGGAGTCCCACCATCCTCCTCTCTCAGGACAAGGCTGGCTCACCTCATGTGGAACATTTGGGGGAAGGTGCCGGGGGGCGGGAGGGGGGTGCATTTGGGCACCAAAACATTCTGTGGTCATGTCGGCTTTGCGGTCCCTAGCATCCATTACCAGGCTAAAAAAAGTTAGTTTGGAATGTCGTAAAAAGGTTAAGATGCAAAGATTCCAGCAGTTGTGGGATCCTGTGGCGTCAGAGATCAGTGGAGAGCAGACGGGGAGTCCTGGTCCTCCTCACCTCAGGATTCACAGTGCTGGGGAAGGGGTGGGTATGGGGGGGTACACTTTTCAAACATTCGTAATCCAATGTCTTCCATTATCCACAAATCCTCTGGCACAGATAAAACCAGCATGATTGGCTTGGCCAGACAGTTAAAGAGCTGGCCAATCAGATAATAAACCAGAGTAAGCAGAAAAACAGGAATGTATGTGATCGTGAGAGAGATACAAAACAGAGCACTTCTTAAAATCTGTCCAAATGGTGCAGATTGAGGAAACGCTTGACTTTTACACATTTTGCAGACTTAAGGCTTACCTTGTGTCAATCACAGTGTGAGAGAGCTGAGCGTGGCCAGAAAGGGCGCCCCCATTTGGACAGAGAGGTGGCCTCTTTGCACTGCTACTGCCTGGAAGGCCATTAGCACAGACCCCGGTCTGCAAAGATGGAGAAAGTCACTGGATGGAAACTCACCATGGCAACATACTTAAAATGCATTCAGCTGGCTCTGAATTCAGTTCAGCCCCCACTGGGCCCAGAACTCACTGCAGCTGCTGGGACGATCCATCGAGGAGCTATCACTGGTTTGGGTGGCAGCTGGGGATTGGGGGGGGGTCAAATGAGGTCACAATCAGGCACATGCATGCAAACACATCGCACGCCATCAAAACAACGCTACGCGACACTGCAGGGCTTACAGCTGGGACCAGATCCGTTAGGTCTATCAGATTCCCGGGCAGAGGAGGGACTGGCAGCTCTGCAGGATCCACTCTTCCCTGCGTCATTGGCGAGAAGATGCATCAGTCAGACAGCGGTCCGCTCCAGAGGCGGAGACGGGCAACAGGATGCTAGAAGGGGCACCGTGTAACAGTGAGACCACCGGGAGGCAGTATTACCTTGGCGGGGGCCACCTCGCTCCTGGCCTCAGGTGGCGTCCGCGGAGGGGAGTGTCGGTCCCAGCCGGCCTTCCTGTCGCTGCAGGAGAGGGGGAAACGATGAAAGCTAAGACTGCCATTACTGCCAAATGCAGCATGGTAAAGAGAGAGAGGAAGGCCTGTCCTTCTCTACTCGTGAAGAGTCCACAGTGACTCAGGAGCACGAGGTGAGCAAACACAGACGCTAAAGTTATGCCAGAGTGGCTGCTTACCAACACGACCACACAGTCCAGACAGTCACATGGAGTTAAAACACAGAAAGTAAGGGAGTCCAACATTATGAAACAGCATCCACTGGCATGTACCACACCAACTGTTGTCAAACTGTAGCGGGCTGGACCTTCACGGGTATACAGGCCCTCACAGCCAATAGCATCATCATCCGGGGTATCTGACTCAAAAGCAAACCACTAGCAAAGCCTTGATTTCAATCCCCCCTCCCACCCCACCCCGTGATATTTCCAGGGCATGCAAGTCGAAAAACTTCATCCGTCAAAAGGAAAACCACAAGCACATAACACTTCAGGAATGTGTGCATGAAACTAAAGTGCACAGCACCCTCTACTGGTTAAAAACCAACAAATTAAATCCATGGCTAACCATGCTAGCTGTTTAGATGAAATGTTTGCAGAAAGTAAAACTAGTATCAGTAAGGTCAACCGTTAGTTTTAAATACATATATACAGTAAGATACTAACTGCTCTCAATATTTTAAGAGCAAAAAAAAAATAAAAAATACTAAAAAAATTATACATTTTAGCAACTGCAGCTCCAATGCCACCACCAGGTGGCAGCAAAGCTCTGGAAATGCAAAAAAAATCATCAGTTCCTCTAATTTTTTTAAATGATGAGCATAATGCACTATGGATACAGACCTTGAAACTGATTCAATGGAAGAAAAAAAAAAGACAGTGAAGCAGAGAGATCTATTTAAAATCTGCCTCTCAGGATGTTTTTCCCTGTGTAAAGAGTCCCCAGCCGCTGATTCTGCCTCATCCCAAGGCTGTAGTGTCCATGACGCTCACCTGTTCTCAGAGTGGACCCGGGTCTCCATCTGTCTAGCTGCCGAGAGTGATGAGCCTCCGTTCTTCCCTCTCTTCCTGAATGGTCGTGGGAATTACCAGGAGATTTTCCAAAGCAGTCCACAGGCTCCACCCCTAAGCCCTGAAAACATCACTACACCTGAAATGCAGTTTAAGGCCTGTATGTACCTGGCTGCAGCTTCGAGGAGGGTGCAGTTCCTCTCCATGGCCACTGGGGGCTCATCCCTTGAGATCTGCACACAGAAGCAAGAAGAATTTCACTCACTCCCTCATGCACAGGGACCTCACCTTGTAAATACCACCTATAAACACATTAACATACCCAGACCTTTGTTTCTCAATGTTAGTACACATTGAACAGCAAATACTTCTACTTCATGTACCACTTTACTTTACACATATAAATCCCTAATGTGAAGCACAGATACATCACAACATTCAGGTGGACCAGAGACAAAAATGCAATCTAAAAATAAAGAGGGAATCCCAACAGTGGTCCTGAAGAACTTTACCCCATGTAGCAGATAAAATACGTGTAAAATGACTTAGAGCAGACGGGGCCTAGTCACAGACAGGTTACATGGGTAAAATACTCTGACTCTCAGAGGTTAACAAAAGCTGGTCACAGAAACCGCGTGTGACAACCCCGGTTCAAGAGCAAGGCTGCCCCGGCCAATCACAAGCTGCGGCCTGGCCTCCATGGCCCACAGCCTACGGCTCGTTATCCAGTCAAATGCTTCTGCAGGGAAACCACACCCACACCCACAGCACCTGCTCACCCCACCTGTGTGCAAAATGCCACCAGCCAGCAGAGGACAGAGTGCACACAGTGACAGGCCTGTGGGGGACACTGTTAGGCTCACCTGACTGCTTGTGTAGACGTTGATGTCAGACCTGAGCGGATCTGGGTGGGGCTGACTCTCAGCTTGTGGTTGCTTCAGCTTGAGGGCCATCTCTGGGGGGGGGGGGGGAGACATAACCAAATTCATCCCTATCATACCAAAAAAGGCCCTGGAAAGGATGGAGGGGGTAAGATCTGCTTGGGCACAAGAATAGACATTGTCACCATGCAGAGTAGGGAATCGTCACCAACTGTCACCAGGCCTGTGGATCTGGGCCAGCAGCTGGCACCTCCAGTTCCCTCTGAGCCTTTAGCCATTTTTACAAGCCACTCAACCTTATCGCAGCACACGGGGCTCAGAAACAAACAGCCGGAAACCACCCAGAGCCCAGAGCGGAGCCTCACCGCTCCGCGGAACTCCATCCCCCGCGACGACGCCAGCCGCCGCACGGATTCCCGCGGTGCCGACGTCCTCCACGGAGCCTGCTGTCACCATAGCCAGCAGGCTGCCGGCTTCTTCGTCGACACACGTCTCCAGCGCGCTGGCCATGTCTACCAGCAGGGGGAGCCTGCAAGCAGAGAAGTGCAGACCCTAACATTAGCATTGATTGAGTGCAGGATAACGCAACAATCATTTCAATAAATAAAGTGCCCACTTTGCTTTAAAAACACTAATAACTTACCAGCGGCCAAGTGAAAAATCCAATTATGTGAGGACAGACCCTAATCAGGGTTCCGAGAGCCCAGTAGTACATTATTAACGCTCTAATTATACCACTGAACCCACGCCAGCGTGAGTTCCCTCCTCAAGCGACAGCCATGACTTGGATGGAAGAACAGATTTATACGCTGCTTCTTGATCTCCACTGGAGTTCCTGTCTGAAGAGCAAGAAGGGGCCAGAGCCAAGGGAGCAGAAACAATCACTTCAAAAGTGCCGCCCCAGGTTTTCTGCTGCTGTTTATTGTAAAAATAGAGGCTCCACATCATGTGGAAATGTGAAATGACAAAGAATGACCCCAAAGAGAGAGAAGTGACAGGTGGCTTTGTGACCATGCCAGCGATTCCACGCGCTGCCACAACTGGTTAACAGAGCCACCCATACAGGCCATCCAGGAACGCATACCTAAATCTGACCCTGAAACACACACACCCACACCCATCCCAGCCCAAAGACACCGTGCCGGCTCAGTGTACATGTGTGTGGGTGTGTGTGTGTGTGTAAGAAAACGAAAGCCCGTTCCTCCAGGCACTTCCAGAAAAATTACTCATCAAGTCCACACAAACGAGCACCGGAAAACAAACCCAGGATGCTACAGCGAGATTTAATTCAAAGAATCCAAGACATCTCAGTGTTTACAGCAAAGGATGTTTTTTTCTACAGCTATACAGCTCATCCTCAAGGGTATAACAGCAAGGACTCAGGAATGGAACATGCAGCTTTCCGAGTAGGAGCCCAGTTCTGAAACACCGGCCTGTTTGTGCACATTCCTCGTTGGCTGGGGCAGCTTCACCTGCCCTCAGAGCGAAAACAAGTGCTTTTGGTTTCAACTCAACATCGCAAGATCACGAGGCATCATCTGTCACGACTAATCCGGGACTCCACCGGTGCTCAACTCCAACTGCTTCAAAATGTCCAAAACGATACAAAAGGTTGATCATTCTTTTTAATGCTGTCTTTCAACCAAAGGAACCCTACCAGCTGACAAAGCTGTAGAGCAACAAATTATATATATAAATTATACTGTATATATATATATATAAAAATAAAACATTAAAATGATACCATGATAAAACAATTGCCTTAACTAAAAGCTACATGGTACCTTTGTATTCTGTGGAGACAGCAGCCTTAAACACCATTTAAGAGAAAACTACAAAATAGCCAATAATATAGTTACGGATTATACTTAAAGTATAAAGTTAGAGAAAAAAAACCCCATATGATAACATTTTCCAGTGACAGGGGAATCCTCAGGGTCTGTAGGAACAGTGAAGCGCCTGCTCGCAGCCAGGGCTCCACCCTTCAGTCTGTGGGCTTGAGCAGGTGAAATGTGGCCAAGGGTGGAGCCCACAGCAGCACCATCTAGCACCTGTCAAGGGGGGGGGGGGGGGCACGAAAGGCATCCAGGGCATCTGTCTGGAGAAGAGGTGGAACAGGGGTCTGGGGAGGGTCCACCGGTCTTCATCGGAAGGTCAAAGGTCGGCCCGTCTGTATGGACAGGAAAAGGCTTTGGGGACATGGCTCAATGAGCTGGTGGTCTTGGAGAGGAAGAGCGCGAGCAGGAAAGAGGAGGAGCGTGCGAGCTAGAGCAGGGTGGTGAAGACCATGGGGGACCCAGGAAGGAGAGAAAGGAGTGCCATGGTAACGCACGGTCAGAACCCAAGCGGTCGCGGGGCAGGGCACCTGCAGAGTGTATGGCTTGCAGACGGCCCCCGCAGATGCGATGCGTCAACACCAGGGTTAGCGAGCCAGGGAAGCGCGGAACCAATCGTAGAACTTTAGCTACTGTCCGCTTTCTGCCAACAAGCTGCAAACTCAACCACCACCGAAAAAGCCCCCACTGCTCAGCAATGAGGACCCATGACAGTCCTTATAGGATCAACAGTCCAGGAGATGTTAAGGCTCAGAGGATGAGTGTGATCGAGGATGAGGGGACAATAAGGACTTTATCACAAAGTCATTGCTGCTGATGAGCGCAAGTCATGGCTGAATTAGGTCACCATGACAACAAGCTCAGGTCACATACTCACTAGGTACATCCACGTAGCAGAGTGCTGGATGACCACCAAACTTGCTTGGCTTTGCCATTAGACAACAGCTCCCGCACAAACAATGCAACATTTACATTCAGGGCCACTTACTTTCATTACCTCACCATTAAAAATCTCACCATGCACCAGTGATGTCTCATGAATTAAAGGAAACTCACATTCAATCACCACCGAGCAACAAAATCATCCTGTGGGCTCCATTAAACATGAATGAGATCACATTCATCTTTTAAAGCTGCTCACCACTCTCCCAGCTCCCAACAGATCAGTCTCAGAGCACTGGGCTGCCAATTTAAAATACACACATTTTAAATTCTATTATCAGAACCCCTCTGTAGAGGTATAGGATGTTATGGATTGCCGTGTGTTTTCAAGCTCCATACATCAGACAAATAGAGCTGTGCTTAACATCCAACTTGGGGAGTTAAATGGACTGTTGGAGAGATACAATACAGTGGATGCCATCTCCATGGCCACCAACTGAGCTGGAAGAACAGCAGTAGAGGCAGACCCCAGAGAAGCCAACGCAACCAGCCATAGGGGCAGAGCCTCCACCAAGCAAGCCCCGCCCACACAAACTCGATTGGCCGGAAGCAGTCGAGGGAGGAGACACGCCGGGACATTGACACATACATACCTCAGAGGATAAAAGGCTTTGTTTTTCATGGCTGCAGGCTGGAACGAACAACAACCTCTTGTAACACCGGACTAAGAACGGCACTGGACGATGTCACCCATCTTTCATGCTGCTCAAGTAACTTCTAACTCAAGCATACAGTTGGCAGGATCCCCCGGTCAGGTTTAAGGTCACCAGCTCATCTGACCTTGGGGGAGGGTCCATCCTAGACCCTCCCCCTGTACACCTACCCACTCGACGGTGCAAGACTCTCACCTCCGCTTATCCGGATGCAAGGCACGGGGGCTTCCGGGAAGGGTCTGTATCTGCATGGGGCCAAGGTCCCCGGGAGGCATCGCAGACCGAAGGGCGTGGGGCTGGGGGGTGCAGAGGGATTTCAGGTGGGGGGTTAGGCATAAACTGCAAGCCACACAGGGAAGAATCGCACAAAAAAAAAAAAAGAAAAAGAAAAAACACTGATATGAGCACTGGGCCAAGGTGAGAGGCGGTACCTTGGTGACTGCATCCCGATTCAGTCCCGCATTCTGTTCCCTACGGGAAGAACAAATGGACAGATTTAGCACGTGTTTCACGGGAGTGGGTGTTTATAGATAGGCGGGGGGGGAGGGACAAAGTTACGGCGTGATTAATACTCACTCCTGGCTCTGGTTGGCAGCTGTGGAAACAGGGAAAACTGCAAATTACCATCACAGTTACACTGTAACTATAGCAACTACATTTTAAGCATGGTAGTACGTACTCCTGATTTGGGCAGAAGTCATCATGGGTCCCTCACTCTGCAATGTGCGCCTGGCATAGCGCTGGCTGGGCCTCCTCTCGAAGGAGGCCACCCTGCGTGCCTTGTTGGCTTTCGTGGCCTGGTACTCAGTTTTCCCACTGGGGGGGGGGGGACAAAAGGAGCATGACAATCTTCATCTCGTACGGTTAGAGATGCATTAAGCAGCCCCTAGCAGCTCCGGTGCCCCCCCACCCTCGGCCTACCTGTATCGGAAGCGGGAACCCATGCGGATGAAACTGGACTGAGAGGAGCTCTTCTGCACTGGCCCGCGCAGCCGGAAGAAGGCGTGGTGCTCCACTGCACACTTCCACAGATGCTTGCAGGCCTTGGGGTGCTCCATCCGGAACACGAAGGTGTGCTCCTGCTCCCGGCCCTGTAAGATGGGGCCCAGGGGCTTCAGCGGGGTGGGGCTGGGGCGGCGTAAACCACACACGGGGAGAAAGCCTTCCCTCCCGTATGCTCCCACTCCTACGGTCACCGTCACCTCGGGTTCCTTCACAGAACCATCGAAACAGCCAATCCCAAGTCTTAGCACCAGTGGCAAGTGGATTATGGGTAATTCAGACAACGGGAAAACAACAACACTAGAGACACAAGAAACCCGCCCGACAAGTTGAGTCTTGCAGCACTGTTTCCGACATGGCTCAGCTGGCCGATTCTGGTTCCCCCACTCCTTCCCCAAAACCAGCGAAGGAGATATCACCGAACTGGCTGCCTGTCCCGGCTTGCCGGCGCGTACCAGTCGCGCGACCTCACACCTCCCACCAACAGGCTGCAGTCGCATTCCACCCACTCATTGGCGGACGGATGTGCCCTCTAACACCATCCTAAACCTGCTCTGCGGAAAGAGCTGTTTTTAATCACAGGGCGATGACAGAGCAGGAACTCCTTCCTCGAAAGGCAGGGCGGGATGGTGTGAGTGATCAGACCGCGCCGTTGACATTTAGGAGGTGCAGCTGCCTGCCGTCGGTTCCAGATGCTGGACCAGGCAGTGTTTTACAGCAGCACCTCCGTGGGTCATTCGGTGTTTCCAGGCAGCCCCACACAGCTAAATAAAATTCTGCCTCCAATAACCGCGGCTGGACACTCAAGGTCGGACAGATACCATTAGTGCAGGGATACCATCCCACTAAGCCTGTCCCGGTAACAAGGCCTCGGATCCATGCCAAGGAAACGGGCAGCTTGTCAAGCCTTCCTCATACGGGTGAGTCATGTTACTGCAGCGGGAGCCAGGAGGGGCCGGCGAGGTGACAGTGCAGGGAGGGGGAGGGGTACAGGATCTCACCTGCTCGTCATCCTCCACCACAACCAGCGTTAGCTTGGTCCTCTTGAAGTCCAGACGTGTGATCTTGGGCCTAGAAGGTGGTGAAGACAGACACCCCAAGGCATTGATTAATAAAACAAGGTCAAGGTGGAACCAGTTCAAAGACACAGGGTAGGCTAAGCTTGTGATTGGCTGAGCCAAGACCGAATCACCCCCTGCGGAATGATTATGGAATTATGTAACCCCTCTTAAGAGACATAGGCCACTGTGCAGAACTTGATGAACACTAAAGGTAATGGAATGTTCTGAGGGCACATAGCAACTCAGAGTCCTGGAAGGGGGACCAGGTCCCAGCCCTTACCAGAAGAACAGGCCGATCTTATTAGACCCTTCGAAGACCAGCACTCCAGTGGGGGTCAGACCCAAGCTGTACTCATTGCCGTCTCGAGCCTGTGGGGGGAGGGATGATACATTTAGTTGGCCATCTGTGCTGGAGAGAAACAAAGCATTAAAAGGCCCCTCCCTCAGTGCCAGGAGAGAAACAGGAGGCTACAGGAAGCAGCAGCGATGGGCAGCGCAGATGCAGCTCACCCTGACAGAATGCATATCGACCCCGTACATATCCAGCCACTTGGCCTTGTTCAGGTAGCTGATCTCGGCTTGCGCAGGTGATTGGCCACTGTGGGGATACAAGGGGACATGCTGGAGTCACAGGAGGACATTAGGGGTCACACTGGGGTCACTGGAGGATGACATCTGGGGGGAAACTCATGGGACTTATTCAACAGGCGTTAGAAAACCATATTGCCACAAACTAAAGCCCATTGCCTAACTGGACGTTTTAACCCACAACTGGTTCACACTGCAAACTTCAGCTCTTCAATTGCTCCCCAAACATCACTATAGGACATCCGGGGGCCGGCGGGTCCTCACCTACAGCTCTTCCAAGTGTTGAGGACAGCACGCTCCATGTCCTCTGTCTGGTTGGGGACAAAGCGGAACTCAGACACCAGCTCCAGGGAGTGCTCAGCCGAGTCAAAGTCGCCCAACTCAGCTGAAAGAGGTCGTTGGAGAACGGGGTGGGGTCAAAGGGTCAGCCTCAAACACCGAGGGGGCAGCCTGCCACAGCCCACGCACAGTTTAAAAGAAGTTAGCTGATCTTATTTTGGAGCATAGCAGCACCAGAATAACCTTTAATCAAGATTTACATTTTTATTTATTCATCAGATGCCTTTACCCAAAGCAACGTACATTTTTCTTTTAAGAAAGCAAGGTTAGACAGTCCCTGGAGCAATTGGGGATTAAGGGTCTTGCTCAGGAGGCCAACAGTGAAATCATTCTGCCAACCCAGGGATGTGAACCAGCGACCTTCCAATCACACAGCAGGTAGCCCTAAGCCACCAGCCCCAGGACGTCTGTGGTTCTCCTCACATAGTGACAGCAGCAGCAGGTTCTTCGTTTTGACTATAAGATATAGCTCTACTGCCATACTCTTATTCTAACTTCCGGGATTCAAGGCGGCGGCAACAGGACATATGGCCAAAAGTTTGTGGGGACCAGTTTGTCCAACATCATTTCAAAGGGGTATTAATATAAAGTTGGTGGGCTCATTATTACTGTAATAGCCTGTACTATTCTGGGAAGGCTTTCCATTACATGTCGGAACATTGCTGGTGGGATTTGCTGCCATTCAGGTTGGATATTGATGTTGGGTGATCAGGTCACTTTCTGTGAGCTTGTGTGGCCGACCACTTCACACCTAAATTTGCTCCCAGACGTTTTGACCTTCATAGTCATTTCACTTGTAGTTGACCAGGACAGCTCTAGCAGGGCAGAAATGTGGCGAACTGACTTGTTGAAAAGATGGCGTCTTATGATATGCCAGGTGGAAAGTCACTAAACACTCCTATACAAACACCCATTCTGCTGCTAATGTTTGTTGCAGGAAATCACGTGACTGTGTGCTTATATATACACACACACATCCCTATTAATTAGAGGTTACGTAATTAACACACACCCGTTGCTGACATAAATGTATTTTATATATATATATATAAAAAAATACATGTATGTCAGCAACGGGTGTGTGTTAATTACGTAACCTCTAATTAATAGGGATGTCCACATACTTTTATAGTGCATCCACCAGCCCAGGATACATCAGGGAAGGTGTTCACAGATAAGTTAAGGCTCACCCTCAGGCTAAAGAGTGCTGCTCAGAGACAGCCCAGAGCCTAGCTAAGCAGCCTGGTTATCAGGGAGGATGACAGATTACTAACCCATGTATGGGGCACGTACTGTGATTCTATGTTGGGGGCCTCACCTTGCAGCGAGAAGGCTGCCAACTCCACCGCTGCGTCAGGAGGGCATTCCAGTCTGCGTCAGACACACAAACAGGTCAGGCTTTCCTCAGCAGAGGAATTACACTCATTTAAGGTCTTTAGCAACATTTCATGGACTCACGACTTTAAGAACATTTTCAGATTTGACATTCTCAACCGCAAAGCTGAATTCCAATCGACACAACATATTTAAAAGCGTGAATATTACATTTGCAAGCTTAATGCTTTCTTGGTGACTAAGGAGTGTAGGGGAAAGCGTCTCAAAAAGCAAGCGCCGCTCCGGAGACTATCCAATCCCGATAGTCCCACAGCGGGCCGCCAAACCCAAAACCTGCTGGTACCTTGAAAACACATAAAAGGGTACTCACTTTCCACTAAGGATGTCCTGCTTTAGCTGAAGCACAAATAAGTACCTGGGGAAAAATGAAAAGCCTCTGATAAACTAGTAACATGACCGCTAATGGTCAGGCGGCCGCTGAAGATTACTGGACCGCCCCACTCCGAGCGGTGCAAAGGCGCCCGTACCTGGTCAGCTCCTCACGAAGGTTGCTGGGCTCAGAGGAGTAGAACTTCACCTTCAAGTGGAGGCAATATGGAGGCCCGACTGCGGCACACAGAGGGTCACGGGCTCAGGGCATGTGTGTACGATTTCCCCACAATTCCAGGCAGCGTTGCCGCTAGCAAGACTGGAATCTACATTTTAAACATTGACGCACATAACACACCAGTATAAAAGCGACAGGCTTACTTTGCACTTGTTTTTTGATGCTTTTTGTCACGTCCAGCCAGTGCTGCAATTACAAAGACCCTGATCAATTAACAAAACACAACAAATTGAGAAAAACATGGAATGTCATTCAGAGGGAAGTCAGTCTTACTACAGCTTTGTTTTTCAAAAACACTGAAACTCAGAAAATGCCAAGGGAGGAGCAGATGCAGGTTTGTCAGAATTTAAGAGGTTCCTGCCACCCAACTACAGACGTTAGACGGAGGGCGTGGGGCAAACAGGAAGCCAGCGGCGATTGTATTAGAGTTAATCCTGCTGATCCAGACACGCCGCACGGGACCTGACACCCTGCTCCTAACTCTCTAGAAAGTTCTCCACCCTCAGCGCGACTGGCGCGGAACACTGAGCCGCTCTGCGAGGCGTGAACAATGCAGGTAGGGGGGAGGGAGCACAGGAGGTGCTGCTCTTAAGGAGGAGATGAACATCACAGCAGCTGCCCGTTATCTATCCACTTGGCAGCATTCCACCCCCATGCCCACCACCCCCACTCTGCTCAGGCCTGGGACCACAGGAGACTCCGAGAGAGTATCACCCCCTCACCCCCACAGACGGCGTGCCTTCAGGGAGCAGTAGGCGCTGCCCGCTCCAAAATGAAGTGTCCCCATGGCAACCAGGCAGAGATCATGCTGTGGATTAACTCCAGCCAGTAGGGCCGCTGCCAGCATTACTGGGGATAAAGGTGTGGTAGTCTACCAGCTTCACCCACTCTCTACTCAGCAGGTAAGGTCACCAGGGTACACAGTAAGCAGCACATGGGGACAATTCTTGGATTTCTGAAGGTGGGGGGCATAAGAGGGGCCATATTGCAAACATAATTCATTAGCCTATGATGTGTTTTGAATCAGTGAGTGACATTCCGCGAGCCAATCAGCTTGGGAGTGGCCGTGTGGTCGCAGCCCTGGCAGTATGTGACACGCACACATCCAGAGTCTAAAAGGGTCTAGCCTGCCTCGCCACTCACACAACATGTCAGGGATCGTTGAAGGAACCAAACGCTGACAACAATCACCCCCCCCACCCCCACTGTGGCAAAGCAGCTCGAACAAACGATCATCAGCGTGCAGTGCATGTTTCATCAGCCGATAAAGACTCAATACTGTTACTCCTACGGCAGAAGGTCATTTGTAATAAAATCCCACAGACACCAACCCCCTCTGCCACAGCATGCTGAAGTCACACGTAAACCAACCTCCACCATCAGAGGACAGCACTGTCCCAATGACAATGGTTTTTTTAAACCACAAAGAGCCAATCAGAACACAGTATAGATCGCAGCTCTTACCGCTACTTGTGCCGAGTCCATGAAGCGGAGGCCGAAGTAGTCCTTCTCCACGATGTCCAGGTGGTACATGATCTGCTCAAAGAGCTCCTCCCCTTTGGCATTTTTCTAAATATATAAATGGACACAAGAACACAGAGGTTCCACCCCAGCATTTACTTCCCCAAATAAATTTCCCTAAATAAACAAACAAACTAACAAACAAATAAATAGGATGATGGCTTCCCGCAAAACTCACACAGAGAATGGAATTCCCAAGCAGGTACCAAGACGGGCGGGGCCTCTGATAACTCCTGAGCGATTACCCACATGTATGCTATGGTCTGTTATATCAATAAATACTTCTCAGAATCAGCCGAAGCCCCCCAGCTTACTCTATTTACCCCCCCACTGGGTCTCCATACATCTCAATGTCACATAAACAGTAAGAGGACAGCAACTTCAAAAACTCACAATGAAAACCGACAGCAAGATTCAGTAACCTTCCTCAACCGTTTGTTCACAGATGAAAATTAAAGAATTTTTATATATATAGCAAGAAAGATCCCCCCCCCCCCCAAGAAAACCAAATCTGCAAATCAGACAAGTGTTTTGGTTACATAAACAATGTTCTTGACAAGGTTGAGAAAGCAGTTAGGAGATAATTGAACCACCTCTCTTGGAAGAATGTAAGGTTACCGTTGCAAAGGTAAACAACATGGACCGATACTTCAGCAGAGTGGTGGCAAAACCTTAACCTGATAATTACCGTAAAGTATTTCAACCAAAATTCAGATGGTAATTAAGTCTGGCAGCTCATACATACCCTGGGTAACCGGTTTTAAAACATCTATCTGACTTTGGACTCCGGATTTCACTGCACAAGACATCAGAAAAACAGCCAGTAGAAGACACGCCTCTCTCTCCCATGGACCAACAAAATTTAGCAAACAAGAGTCCAACCAGCTGAACCTGTCCCCATAAACACCAGCCTGGCATCCACTTTATTCAATGCCACCACCACAACCTACTGTAATAAGAAAAATTGTAAAGACACATTTATGACACGTTTCAGTTTATACAGCATTCTGAGTGTATATTTATTTTGGGAACTACAGCAAGTCCAGTCCTAACTCCTTCACCACAACGCCAACTGCTGTTAACACAAGTTCCTCAGCTCAGATTTTAAACTTCCGGTTTCATACAGAGTTATTTCAGGCTGAGGGATTTACGATGTAGACACACACACCCTCTGATCTCCTCAAAGGAGAGCCACTGATGCTGTACACCAACCAGCATTAAACCTTCAAGAAACCATGTCAACATCCTGATTTATCCAGACTTGAATAGCCAGTACTAACATCTGTTGGTCTGTCAGAGATTAGACAGAAATATTAAAAGAAGACAAAAATTAAATAGCCTGCCCAAACACACAAAAAAAAATAAAAAATAAGCATCACTCTCACTTGTTTGTTTTGTCACCTCCACCTTTGACAGAATACTAATGCTGGAAGGGATATAGAGAACTAATTTAACTAGACTTTTGGTGGGACCTATAAATCTTGGTCACATGCTACAATGTAATATGAGACATTAACTGGTATCTTGGGATGACAAATTTCAGCAACTGCAATTAAACTACAACTTCCTATAAACACAGTCCATGGGTATCCCACAAAGCTAAACAAAAAGCATTTTCAAAAGCACTTTCACACAAACCATAACATCCTTAAAAAAATGAATCAAGACCTTAAACTGTTCATTAACAGCATCACCCAAGCTGGCTTGCTGAGCCTCAAGGGGATCTCACTGCAAAGTCATGGCGAGGAGCACTTGGTGAGCAAGCCAAGGTCACAAACGCCTGAATGAGCAGTTACTTCCTAAGTTTTCACACGGACTCCAAAATGAGCACCTCTGGCGTATGCAGTATTACACTGTCCTCGTATTAACTTCAACACTATAACACTCTATTTATTGTTAGTGTTTACTGATGTCTCTCTTTTTGACGGTTTGCTACTATAAAACTGTTTCACACTGTGAAAACTGAATAACAATTGTAAAAAAAAAACTGTATTACACTGTGCCATCTATCCATCTTCAATCACTTTACATTGTTAGGACTTTTGGTGGACCTTCCGACACCATGAACGCAGAAAATTCCAGATGCGCGCAGGTGCCCACAATTAATTGCGATCCAGGAATCGAAGAGTTTAATGGAATGACCCAAAGTGTCTTACCGGCAGCTCCACGCTCACGTCGGTGCCGTCCAGCAGGGAGACCCGGCAGGTGATCACCGACTTGGCGTCGCCTGCCGCCGGGATGTGCGTGCTGGATCTCTGTGCCTCCTTGGATCTCTGTGCTTCCCGGAGCCGGACCTTCTCCGTGTTTTTCTGGATGGACCGCCGGCCCAGGGTCCGGCGAAGGAATCTCAGCATAGCTGGTGCAAAACACGATCCAAAGCCACGAAACAGGCACCTATAACAACAAAGAAATCTTATCTTACCTGGGAAGGGCAGCCTGCCATACAGGCGTCATTTATTTATCCACTTATTTGTCGGATCGCATTTACGCAACACACAAAAGCCCAGTGCGTATCAACAGGTATGCTAGAAAGAAAGTTTCCAGCAGATAAGCACACATCTTACAAATAAATCCAACCGGGGACGAAAAGATACAGTATATGTAAGGTTTTTAGAATGCACTCAATAAACTCCAAAATATAACATGGACACATCATACAACAGCGAGTCGGCGTACAATACAATTTTGTTCAATTTTATTCCCAAAGCACACCATCTCGGGCGATGAATTGCACATTTAACATGGATTTGTACGGAAATAAAACCTGGCAACACCTCCGTTTATGAGACTGGGCTTTGTACATTTGTTTCCGGCAAGGTGGAACAACTTAATAAACATGTCGCAAATCCCAATAATGTTACTAAATCGAACAAAACAATGATAGCGTATATAAACTTGGCTTCTTTAAAATACAATAGGGTTTCTGGCAAAATAATGTCAACAGTACATGTTAAAGCAACAGGTTACCTGCGTCCCGGGGATGCTTAGAGCGGCAGACGGAGGGAGCCCCGCGGCGCGCACCCCACGCTCCCCTCACACCCCACTGCGCGCACCCCGCACCCGGCGCAGTCCCGCTTGCGAAGACAAAGCTGCACTTTATCCGACACTCTAGATACTGAGACGCGGCCGCGCATCGGCCTCACTAGACCTGCAAAACGAAAGCAAAAATCGTGGCTTCCCCTGGCTGCAGTATGGTATCCCAGCCTCCCCCCACACCTCAGGTTAATGATCCGGACCTCTGCGTCCCCAAACACAAAGGCCAGACGCAATTCCTGACAGGAAGTGACGTGAACGCCATTTAAAGGGACAATGGAGAAATGCGTCCGGTCACTGGCGCATTACCCGCAACGGCCTTATATATCATGTGATGTAAACGAGAATTTGATGGTTAAATTTCATATAATATATAAGTACTACACCTTACGATACTGCGCTGTGTAGGTAACACTCTGAAGTCTTAAAAAACGTAGGCTACTAATATGTTAAGCGATGGACATTTCCCCCATACACAACACAATTTTGATATAGGAAGAAATTATAATTAGATTATAATTTCTAAAGTAGTCCATTAAAATTAACGTTGAATCAACCATTGTAAAAATAGCTTAATGATTCCAGATGTTTCTGTCATGTGGAGCGGGTAACGAATTTCGAGTACGTTAGAATTGTAGTTAAGCAATCTTCAAGCAAATACACTGAAGAATTAATATGAAAGCATCTCGTACGCAGTTACACACAATACTTAATAATATAACTCTGGTCAAAATAAACGGACCCATGCAGTTTTCTGATTAAACACAACTTGTATTATTAATATTATATTCTTTAAGTGATCAGAAGCAGACGTGTCTGTTTTAAAGACTTTTCTATTGCCATTTTTATATCCAACAGCAGCTCAGTTTACTAATGCGCTGTACTCCCTGAGACTTTAACCACGAACCTCATACAGTTAAAAAGCACCTTCTCACCACTTTATACATTTTTAATAGGCACGAACCCTGTTACACACTCAGTCAGGTGAAACTATGGAGCAGCATTCAGCATGCAACCTGCAGTCTACTTGTTTATGTTTGAGAAGGCATTACAGCTAAATTACTTTCAGTAAGAGTTACTGAAATAGGTATAGTTTAGTAATCGGGAAGAGCTTTCTTCTAAGAACTTCCACCAAAAATATTACGTGACTACATAATTGAAAATAAAAGTAATTACCTGTTTTTGTTACCAACTACACTGGACCGGAGATTAACATGTCGCTTCCCGGCTCGAACTAAAGTACATATTCAACTTCACTGCATAATGTTATTACAATTTGACTTCATTCAGAGGGAATCTTTATCCAGCAACAGCGCCTCCACTTGGCAAGCAAGCGCCCATGGGTCGCCTTTTAAATTTTTGCGGCATGGTAAGTGGCTCTTTGACTTAAATCTGAGTAAAATTAATCACGACTTTGTTAGCTTTGGGAAACCAAACTGTATGAAATTAATTATGAGTGAAATATTGATCACATATTCATTTGAAAGTTTGAAACGGTAAAATTACTTTAGTAATTGATTAGTGGTGCAAGGTAAAGTGCAAATACAATGTGTATTTATGGTGATATTGTTTATTTTCTAATTTATAACAAGCTATAAACTTCAGGTTAAACCAAAGAATAAAAGAGGAGTAGTGTTAGATTCTTGGTCAAAATTGAAAATATCTCCATAACAGGCCATAAATTTTCTTCCACAGACAGCCAGGGAAACTAACTGAAGGGGTTCAAAGGTAATTTCTACATTTTTCTCTAACATCCCCGCTGTCACTGATTCCCTTCAGTGTAGTTTTCCCTAAGGACAGATCCCCCAGAGATTCTCCACGACAGATAAAACGCTCAGAAATACAATCATGGCTTGAGCATAACCCAAAAGGGAAATACAGAGGTGCTCTAATCCATAAATCAGGGTGTTCATACCTCAGCAGTCTTATTGTACTATTACCTATGTGCAATCAATGTCGTACAGCTAAAGAATGATACATAATACATACTGTGGCCATAATAAGATCAATAAATATTGTGTAGTTACATGTCGTATACTGGCATGTTGGCTGGCAATAAGGGCTCTTCCCGGCTCTCCTCTTGTCCAGACTTACACACAAATTGACGTTAAGTGCTTTATATTTCCATAAGTCAAATCTCCCTTTGTGTTGTAGAGGAAAGGGACAAAAAAGTCAAAGCACTTTTTAACTCACAAGATTTTCCTTTTTATTTCAAAGTTTTCAATATAATTATATATTTATATATAACATTGTATTTACATGATCAGCTTTATTTACACAAAAACAAGTGGCACTATGCAGTTTATATTTCACCTAAAAGATGCCTTAAAAAGTTATGATAAATAAAACAAACATTTCTTCCCCTCATGATCACTTAAGTAGCACCAAAAGCCACGAAGTCCATTGCAGAGTGCTATCCATTTACAAGAAGGAAGTTTGTTATGTAAAAATAAAGCCCCCATTTCCACCCCATAATATCCCACAGAGAATCCATAGCTCACACCATTGCGACCCTTAGCTTACTGAACCTTCAGTTTTAAATGTCTTACAACGAGTCAGTGAGATGGTGAGTGACAGTGGAGACACGAGTGGTCTTGAGAGATTTTCAGAAAAGGCAGTGTGCTTTGGAAAGGGGACAGACCGTAGTGGCCAGTCATGCTCCATCCTCATCCTTGCTGTGGGAGCAGGATGGGAGGAGCTGTGAGGAGGATGGAGGCAGATCAATACTATCTAAAACCTGTGGTCTGCTCCCAAGACAGCAGGCTGGGCAATTTTTATAGATTTAGGGGTGGGGCAGGGATTATGAACAGGGACCCCCAGTAGTGGTGGGGCAAAGGAGCAGTGTGCCCAATCGGTGAAAGTAAAGCCATTAAGGACGTCAATAGTCAGGCACTGCAATTCTGTCCGTCTCTCACAGGAGCACGCACACGCACACAAGCACGCACGCACACACATACACACACACGGTATTTAGGGCTGTATAGTATGCATTAAAACCCTACGTTCCGCTCTGGCTTGGCGAACCTGCTCGCCAGATCCAGCAGAGGCGGCCGTACATTTCGTCTGGATGCTTCTCTGCGCGATGCACATTAAAAGGGACCATCTGAAAAGCTGAACTGGCTCAGCAGCCACCTTTGTGACCCACCCCCAGCATTCTCAGCAACAGAAACATGGTGACATGACATTTTAGAACCCCCTTAAACCCTGAACAACAAAGAAAAAACACTGTGTAGGATATATGTGCTCCCTCTCTTACTGTGTTGTGTTGTCATGGTGTTGAAAGAAATCAATCAGAATATCACATTTAAACAAAATACACAGCAGCCATCACCCAAACGCAACTGTGTAATGTTACTGGTCATCACAGCTTTCTTTAGTGAGGAGAAAGGGGTTATTGAGCTCAGATTTGACCACATTTTGCTCTTCACGTTATTAAATAAAAACAGAGTGAAATAAAATAATTTAAATTATACTTAAGCGACGTACCAGTATGTTGTCTATCAGCATCACACCTCAGACTTAATAGGAATTGGCTGTAAAAGACGAAAGACTCTTTTCTTGGAAAAACAGATCACTGGGATAGAAATTATGTTCACAATTGCAACCTGAATCCACCAGCATTTAATAAACAGAGCTGTCAAAGGTGAGGAGGGGTTACCTACATCGTGACACAACGTGGCTGAGGACCTCCTGCCCAAAAACACTCCACGGTCACTGCAAATGGGCTCACAGTCAAAATGGATTTTTACAGAAGAACAACAACCCCCAAATCATCAGGCCTCAGGGTGACAAATTGATTCACAGCTGGAAACGGGCACTGGATTGGACCAATGGAATTTTTCTTTCAATCACATGAACAGCATTTCATATTTAACTAAAACAATAAATATGTTAAAAAATAGTAGCTACAGTTACCGTGATAGATGATAGAACATTTTTTTGTGGACTTATACGTTAGGCTTGGTAACACCAGCAGAGAGTGCTTATTTGAAGGTCTGTCCATCAATGTTATGGCACATAGACACAGCCGCAAGCGGCCCCTAAACGTACCCAATGCAGATTTTCTGTGACTGCTCTTCCAGAAGTTTCTTTTGAGAACATAAAGTGCGACAGTGCTAATGTTTCTCCAATGTCTCGAGGCCCTGATTCTCCAATCCAGCTGGCACCTCCATGGTCAGCTCTAGGCAGTCTCTCCTAGCATGAAAAAAACAAACAAAAAAACAAAAGACCCACAGCCGGCTGTGATCCTGGGTCCGGCCTGAGTGAAAGGGTGGAGCACTGGCGCAGTGGGGCTGTCCTTGCACTTCACTCCTCTGGCGTGGAGTCCGCAGACTGAGGCTGGCTCTCCTCGTAGACCTTCAGGATCGCCTCACAGACGAACCTGTACTGACTCTGATAGGGCACAGTGATGGGACAGCGAGTCAAATAACAGGTTATGCAAGAAGACAGGAAGTTACACAACACTAGGGGCCATGTGTCTGCGTGTGAATGCCTACATGATATCTAATGAAGACTCACAGAGATGCCCCACCATCATTATCCAGCTCCTTCCTACCATAGCCACAACTTCTTGGTTTCAGCCTCTGCTTCCTAAAGGAGCACGTGGCTTCCGGAAACCCCCACGGGAGACGGAGGCGGAGGGGAGCGTACTCACCGGGGTTTGGATCATCATTGCCCGCTGGTCTCTCATCGTCCGCACGATGTCTAGCGGATACACAGGCTGGTTGCACTCGATGAGACACATCGCCGTTTCCATGGTGATGAGCACTCCAGTACGGCCGATGCCGGCACTGTGAGAGACGGAGAGAGGGGCTCAGGAATTCTGGATGATTTTGGTGGGGGAATGAACTTCAGCGTCCCCGCTGGATGTACCAAAACTGAAAAGCTTGCTCAGGTTCTCACACTCATCTGGGCAGCGAACCCAAAAGTTACCGGGTTCACTGGACATGGGCCTGACCCAGCACAGGGCGGATTGAAGTACTTGTTTACTGGATTGAGCTGGCACAGAGTAAACAAAGAAACACTAAACAAACAAACAAAAATGACTGGACCCCAAAAGACATTAATGCTGCATGATATTTCAAACCACCATCTGCAGCATTATGGATTTTTAAAAGGATTATGATTCATCCATGGTTTATTTCCACAATTACCCTGCAGCCTCAACAGTTAGGCTGCCACACACACAGATTACACATATGCAGATTTGAACGTTGCGTTTACAAGCATAATACATTGCAGAAAAACATGTAAATTGTTTTAGGGCTCATGTTTAAATGCACAAGGTCATGTCACTCTGCAATAAGTGCTGAGGGGCCCAGAAGGGGGGTTTAGGAGAGCCATACCTGCAGTGGACCACCACTGGCTCATCCTTGCCTGCCCTCCTGCTTCTCACTAGCCTTACGAAGTCCAGGAAGTCGGTGGAGTCGTCGGGCACGCCATGATCTGGCCATGCCACGTACTGGATCTGGGTCAGCTGCCGGCTCTCGTCGCTCTGCGGGGGTGCGAGCAGGGAGGTGTACAGTCCATGAGCTTTGCCATGGCAACAGCGAACCAACGCACATCCCCCTGCGTTTAACGTGAAGCCGGAATGCTGCCGACAAGAGCATCTCCATGGCAACACAGTCAGGTCCCACGTTCCACGTCTGCACTGTCGCCATGGCAACAGCCCATTCTCGGGCTTGGTAATAGTACCGCAAAGCCCACGCTCACATCGCTATGGTAACATGCAGCAAGGAATTTAGTAAGGGACAGGCCGAATGATGGACTCACCTCCAGATTGCTGAGTGTTACGTCCCTCACCAAGAATGCAGAATTGCCCTCCTCAGTGTGGCACTCGATCTGAAAGGTGCCATAGCTGGTACTGCTGCCCGGGTTGGGCCAATACTGATGGCATTTCACCTGAGGCCAGGTAACATACATTCACCTTCCAGACCCAACAGCGGCAAAACAACCAAATTTTCAGGAATCCAGTGGGTCACTGGACACAGACATTCACTGATTGGTTAACCTAAGTCCTGCTTTTTGCTTACTGGCTCTCACTGGGTAAAACCAGGAAGTTTTTAAATAATCCGTCCCATAGACCAACATCTGATATTACTACACTTAGATCTTGAAGTCCTTTTTGGTGGTTAATTAAACCAAAAGGGTGGAGTGGACCCTGCTGGGCCACCAGGAGGGGCCAGAGAGTAGGCTGTGGCCCTAGTTCAGACGTACCCTGCCTCGCTCCACCTGCGTGGTGAGCATGACCACCATGGAGGAGCCCTGCTCCCAGGCCATCTGCCAGAAATCCAGGCACGTGTTGGGCAGGGGCCCCTGACAGGCGATGTAACGGTTAATGAGGCTGGAGGCCGGGATCTCCATCTGAGGAGGAGGCAGACGAGGCGTGAGCATGCGCGGGAGATCAGGCGCACGTGTCCATTCTGACGTGGGCTGCCCGTCTCAGGATTGGCCAACTGCCGAGATCTCCCAGCTACCACAGAGAGCTCTGCGTCTTTAATTAAAGAGAGGAAATGGCTACGACTCACGTTGATATAGTTTGCGTTGATATAGTCAGCTGCGCCCTTCAGAACGACCCGTGTGGCGTCATCTGCAAAGGTGGAGAGACATGAGGCAGGGGGATTTATGGACGGCGATGGCACACTGCATTTGGCTGTGGTGGGGCGGGGTCACACACTCACAAGGCGAGATGTCCCTGTATCGGTTTTTGGAGATGTTCTGAGGTAATTTGGCACAAGACATCGTCATTCCGGGCCTCTTCCGGTAGAGTTGCTGTGGATGAAGGTGGCACAGATGCTAATTTAAAATTCACCATCAGAAATACAACAAACTCAAAGCAGGCTGATGAACCTGATCCCACCAAAAGCTGCAGTATTTTCATGCTGCCATTCAGGATTAACAATATATTTAAAAACATAAGGGTACATCATTCTCCACCTCTGTTGCACCTTCCCCTGGTGCCCGGTGTAATACATACAGCAACAAATACATTGCAATTATCGTAAAACCATATTAATGAGGCACTGTGGGGTTCTCTGCTAATGTGAAACTACGCCAGATAGTCCCTTCATCTTCACTGCCCCCCCCCTTAATACTACACCAAGGGAGACAGACAGGAAGCTGTTAAGACTGCTTAAAGAATAACAGGAAGTAGTAGGATTTCCTGCGATAACTTAGTGGACAGTTAATGTTCAGTAGGATGTGGTCAGTAAGCACACAGACGGCGTGTGTCAATCCAGGGTGACGGTGATGGAGATGGCAGCGACAACGATGGTGCCGCTCACATCAAACTGGGCAAGCAGAGTACCACTGCTCAGGTCATCGCGCAGCTGCTGCAGGGCCCGCAGCCACGCGTCCCCGTCCAGCTGCGACACGTCCACCGCTGATTTCTCCGGAATGTACTGGAAGTCCGGTTCTGCCTCTAGCTTCTCCTCGACCACATCATAGATCGCTGTGAACATGTGGACGTTGTGATGTTCCTTTCCTGTGTATTTCTTGAGTAAACATGCTTTGTATACGTTTTAAAAGCTAAAGAGCACCGGGAACAGAGAGATCCTGGAAACATGGTATGATGATTCAGTGTCATGTTGTTTCCACATAGGCGTATATCACATGTTCTAAAGGTATTCAAGAAAACTATTACAAGCGCTAATGATTAATTAGTGCAGCCAAACAAAAGACCCTCCCCGTATTCCTGGACTGTGGTTGTGTTCACAGGGCATCAGGAGGATATGATGTCACAGTGGGCCACAGAGGGAGCCTCATTGGTCTGGCCCCTTCAGGCCCCACCCCCTCACCGTTTGGCCGCACTAGCAGCATCAGCTCTCCAGAGTGGCTTTCGCAGCTGGCCTTGATGAACATGACCACCTGGTCATGCGTGTGCTCCGAGATGTCGCGCCCATTAATCAGCACGACCTGGTCACCCTCATTCAGCCGGGGCATGCACAGGTCAGCCTGTAGGGAGGGGCCCAATTAAAATGATGTCACACATGGTCACAACTGGCCTGGCTTATTCCCAGGGTCACCAACAGGGGACGCTCTCAGCCTTCTAGTGAGACCTCAATGTGACATACAGTATTAATGTCACCAACAAATACAGGCCACAGAAACGTGAAGAGTGTTTTCATGTCGCTCTGTGTCCACAGTTTCTCTGGATTAAACATGTCAATGTGCACTTTTCCTTCATGAATGACAAAGTAGGATCAAGGCTTAATTAGCTGCTAATCTCTGAAAGCATGTCAATCACATTTCTCAGCAGTGATCCCCCTCCCATCGATTATCAGGGTCAGTGCGGGGGGTTAAACTCCAGTGTCAAATCAAGTCCCTGATTATGTCCCTCATCCTCAACCCAAAAATGTGCAACAGACCGTACCGGTGTCCCCGGAGCCACACGGGACACGATCACCGGCATCTTCTGATCCGATCCACCCTGGAGAGACCGTGAAAGATGTGCTATGTATGTAAACATGGCCACAAGAGCCTGCTAACAGGCGCTAATGCAACAAGTGAAGGTTGTGTTAAATAGGTGGTTGAGCAGTTGACCTGTTAGCAGTAGCAACAGGGCAGAAACTCACCTTGACGTTGAAGCCGAATCGTCCATTTTCGTCGGGCCTCATCTTGATCAGGACGAGGTTATCATGGGGAACCGCGCCATTTAGCTGGGTGCAACAGGAAAAGTAGACATCAGACCGGAGCACTGTGTGCCGGTACTAGGCTGTGCCAGTGTCCCGTGTCCGTCCCCCTATTTCCGTGAGCCCTCACCGCGTTCCTGTCGCCTGCCGCTGGCACGTCGTACATCTCGCCGACATGGTTGTCTAGCTCCTGCTGCGAGTGCGCCTGCGTGATCTGGGCATAGAAACTCTTGCGGCACTGCTTGGGTGGCAGGGCTGGGGGCTGCCCGTCTGCACTGACATCAGGGGACCTGGGGGGCACACAGGCATCCAGAGCAAGATCTGTTAGCATATGCCGCCTATCAGTTATTGCTTAAGGGTTTTTCTGCATGGCCCGCATTTAGTCACAAGCAATGTACCCATAGTACACAAGAATGTGGGGGTGAGTTTGGAGGGGGCCCAGTAACAAACCAGGAAACATGCGTGCAGAACTGAGAGGGGCACAGGGTACAGAAAGATGGGGGTAACATGAAATGACATGAAATAAAGCAACAAAAAAGTCAAGATAATTGTGTTTGTGTGTCATATTCCTGCACAAGCGGCCTGTGAGAGGCAAACAGTCAGTAAGTTCTGACAGCAGGACGTAAGGGGGGAGAATTATAACCTACACGCACACATGCACACACACACACACACACACATGCACACACACACACAAAAACACACACACATATTAGGCATCTATATCTTTGTGGAGACTCTCCATTCATTTCTACGGGGAAAACCCTAATCCCAACGTGACAACCTTAACCCCTACCCAGCCCTAACCTTAACCATAAGTAACCAAACAAAGTACAAGACTTTTGATGCTTTTAGTGTTTTGATTCCATTTATAGATTCATATAAATTGAGGTTTATATTGTGGGGATCTGAAAAATGTCCTCACAAGCTAAAAAGTAACACACACACATACACACACACACACACACACACACACAAGCACATGTGCCTTCCCCTCCCTCCCCCCACAGATGCAGGACAGAGTGGGGGGGGATGCGTTGTTATACAATCTGTACAAGAAAGTGGGCGGAAGCCTAAGTGCACAACAAACTGGGATCCAGAAACATCGCAGAGACGCAGAAAGCAAAAACAGATAAGGAATAATCTCCCTTCATACCGGAGCCAGGTGAAGGCTGCAGGCTGTAAACCAGAGGGGGCTCGTACCTGTGACCGCCAGCGTCCGGGTGGCAGACCTGACCGTGAAGCCCATGGGCTTCAGGCTCCCCAAACCCAAGCTTTAAAAGGCTGTAACCAGGGGCCAGCGCACAGGGCCACTGTGACAGTGGTATGGGTGCCATCGACCTTCAGCCCCACAGCAGGTTGACTTCATTACTAACAGGAAGTTGGCAGGTGGACACAGCGCCACAGGAGTCACTTCCAGGAAAGAAGCAGGTTCCCCTCCACGTGTGAGATGCTCGTGCAATGTCAGGGCGAGAGGCACCAGCCCTTGAATTGGGATGCTTGCTCTACCAAAGTGCTCGGCCGCACTCCTGGTGCATCCCAGAACCACGTTAATAGGCTCATTTGAAGGGCTCTGACTCAGACCCCCACCCCCTGTTGAGCTCTGTGATTTGGGACGTCCGCCCCCTGCTCTGACTCACACCCGTCACCAAACACACAAAGATTTGCCGAACAATTCAAATTACATGGTTACCAACACGCTCAAACTCAAACAATGCCAGAAGAAGAACAACCAAACAAAACAAAAATGATAACACTAGATAGTCCAGGTTTTTGCAAGAGAGCAAACTTGACATTTATTGTACACCTCCTCCCCCCCATGACTAAGGTTCACAATGAAATCATGTGACCTCTCACAAACATTGAGCAGCCAATGATCAATGGTCTTTTTAAGGGGTAGACATCATGGTTAAAGCTATCTTTAGACAGTGTAGAACAGGAAGGGGCAGGGTTTAACAGATTGGGTGGAGTGAAGAGTACTTACGGCGAGGAGTCCAGGCTGATGCTGTTGGCTTGGGTAGAGGAGGCCGACTTGTGGTTGGAGAAGACCTGACTGGGAGACGAGTGGACAGTGTGGTCCACCAAGTGCCCCACTGAAGATGGGCGCTGTCGGGCCCCATTCTGCGCAAACATGCAGTCCCTGCTGCAGGTGGGGGTCATGGCAGTGAGAGATAAATCTGTGGTTAGAGGGGACAGTTCTCTGTATGGTAGATAGGGGGCAGTAACAGGTAGCATTTATTTCCATACTGCTAGGTCTATCTGGTTTGAGTGCTTACTGGTTAGGGGTACCGGGGGGAGAGCGGTTGGGTAGGCTCTGGGTCTCTAGTCGCTCATCCGACAGCGAGTTCCTGCTCACCGTCTCCCAGTCCATATCGCTCATCAGCTTTCTAGCCAGGGGTTTGCTGGGAGACCTGTGGGGTTGGTCACATGGGAGGTCACATGGGCAGTCACATGACACAAAGACCTCTGACCACCAGGATCTGTGAACAGCTCCAGCATCGACTGTTAAGAGGCAAACGGAAGGTAGCAGTGGACATTAGAGTCGATGTTAGTCACCGCTAACCTTCACGGGGCCGCTCTCAGCAGCCAGCCTCCCCACCTGTAAACAGGCCAGTGGAAAAGGCCAGAGTCTGTTACCCATTTGGCATAAATGGCCATGTTGGCAGTTACATTAACTCCTCCCACAAGACACATCGCTGTACCGCCCGTTAGCAGCAGCAGGGGGCGACCAAGCAACTCACCTGGCAAACACCCTGTCCTTCACACCCTTCTCCTTGCCATACTGCACAGACTGCGCTTCTGTTCTGCCACTGCATGGGGGGCGGGGGTGGGGACAGAGCACATTCCTCTAATGGGTAAATAAAGAGACCAGCCCTCACCCAGAAGACACCCTCTGACTTCTGTTTTTTTTTTCTCTTACTGCTCTAGGCACTCTCACATTTACACGCACCGGCACCGCCCCTAGGGGGCATTACTCACCAGTAGCGGAACTTGGAGCCCAGGGTAAAGTAGTGGCTGAAGAAATTCTTCTGGGGCGACACAGGCCTGTCCAACCGGAAGAAGGTGTGGTACTCCACGCAGGCCTTCCACAGGTTCTTGCAGGCACGGTAGCTGACCATGTTGAAAGCCAGCAGTGTTTCCCTCGTCTCATGCTGGTGGGGGGGGGGGAAGGTTGGGGGTGTTGTCAGTCATGCCCAAACAATATCTAGAAAGACCCCTTTGTTCCCCTCACATGTACTGGGAAATAATTGGCTATATTCCACTCCAGTGACATCATCTCTCATACTTCATCTTAACTAACTTCTGGATGCTTTTATCCAAAGCAACTCACACACCATATAATTTTATCTGATTACTGTTAGTCTGGAACTTCCTTCCATTCAGCATCAGAAGATCACCTTCTGCATCCGCTTTAAAACGCCCCCATTAAATTCGCTTCCGTATTGGGTGGCACGGTAGCTCAGACTTACATGGCTGGGGATTTGAATCCACTCTAGATGTGGAGTTTGAATGTCCTGTCTGAATGACATAAGTTTCCACATACAGTCCAAAAATATGCAATTAGGCTAGCTGGGGTCTCTAAATTTCCCACAGTGCATGATGTGTATGTACCCTGTGATGGACTAGCATTCTATCTGGGGTGTGAACCTGTGGTCTGGGAGAGGCTCCAAGCCCCCTGTGACCATGACCAGGGCAAGCAGTTAGCTGGATACAAGTCTCCTGATTCACTTCATGCTAACAACGTTCTCGTTCAAGGTGTCCACGAGAGGCACCAAACTCACCGAATCCTTCCGAAGCTGGATGAAAAACTGTTTACACTTAAATGAGATCTTTATGATCTTCAACCTGGGAGATGGAAGCAAAGAAAGATCATGATTTGACAGAGTGTCCCAGGGAGGCAACCATCGCGAATACAAGTCATTATAGGTGCAGAAGCGGACGGCTCTGACCCATTTTGTTGCTCCTGTCCCTGGACGCATGACTTGGAAAAGTTCTATATATAAACCCGGCGCTTCACAAACACACTCCTGTGACTAACACTGACTGCAACAAACGCTTATCGGGTCATCTTGGTGTGGGGGAGAGTGGCGGGCGGGGCCGTGATGCGGCGTGAAGATACTGGGTCGTGAGGAAAAGCCTGTGGCTGGTGTCAAATGTCAAAGGTCAGCCCGTGACCCAGAAACATACAAACACTCCCAAAAGTATAACCACTCTCTGGCAGCAGTTAATGAGGGCTGCAAATTTAGATCCTAGGAAACACGTTGAGCTGTGGGGGAAGCGGCGGATAAATAATTTGAGTGCTGTTGTTACGGTGATAAGCAATATTGGGGTTTCCGCTGGCCTGTGATCTAAATTTAGCTTCTGAGCAAGTGGGGGGGGGGGGGGGCATTCAAAGCAGGTGCATTTTCTGGGGGAGGGGGTTCCCAAGATGATCCATAGCAGAACACTTGCAGGGTGTGAACAGCAGAGTACCAGTTTGAGTCCCTGGAGGACCTGTGTAACGGTACGCCTGGAAAAGGTACTTAACCCGAATTACTACAGTAAAGCATCAGCTGTGCAACAAGGTTAATGAGGGGAAAATATTTTTTTATAATATATATATATATATATAT